TGCGACATCTAGAAGACGTGAAAAGTCCTATATCAAATGCAAGTATTATTATTATGATTATTACTTTCCTCTTGAAACCCACAACGGGCTGTACCTCTGTCACCTTACTTGACAGCTCTCTGTGTGAAAATGTTTCTCTTGAGCATTCCTTTCGCTCTTTTAACTATAGCTTATAGTTGCCTATTTATGGAAATAACTTCTCTCTATTAACCCTATCAATCCCTTCATAATTTTGTATCTCTGCAGATGCAACTTCCATTTATTTGATGCTATTCACAAAATGTCTGCAGCTTCCAAAAGTCACTAAAATGCGCAAAAAGGCCAGAGAACACAGTTGTTTGTGGTGTTTCCTGGTCTCTTTTTTCTGACCCTTTCAGAAATCACAATTTTTTTAAAAAAATCACAAATCCAATGGAAGCCTCAATCAACCCTTTCCAGCTCAAAGTCAAAGATTGATTGCTCATTAGAAAGTTTCAGCATATCATGCCAGACTGGTTTATATCATTGAAATGATGAATCAATCTAATAAGATTTTATGGGGCCACTCAATGAGTTAACTCATTAGTAGCACAGTGCAACAGGCATTGGCAAAGTAAGTTATTTCATGCTGGGGGTTAATTATTCAGTTTACTTTGTTCTCAAACATTTTGAAGCAATTGCACAGCTAGAACTGTTCAAGTCATCTCCTAGGTAGTAGCCACTGAGCCGAGTAAAGACAGTTTAATCCCGACTGAGCTGAACGAAACAGAGTCTCTTGCAGAACTGTACCAGAATTTTCAAGAATTTAACAGAAAACTATTTACCGATGAATAAGAACACGCTACAGGACTTGTGCTTTGCTTAGTAGGTAGGTAGGCACAGCAAACCAAATGGCCCCCTTTTGTGCTATACACGTTCTCTAATTCCAATGGAGGTTTCTGGTCAGTGATTGTACGGTGGTTTCTGCTGGTACAACAATACACAAATTTCACCTTGTAGTGTGGTTGTGAATTTGTCTGTTTGCTCACATACAGTATGAAATTACGTTAGTGAATGGGTGTAAAGACAAAGAAATGAGACTGCTGACTTTCAGAAAGGAGGTCAACATCATATTCACGAGTAAACCACAATAGGAAAGAGCAAGAAAGATCCAAGCTGGATCCTGGAAAAAACTTATAGTCCATAAGCCATAGAACTCTCAATCTATAATGGAAGAGCTAACTGCTTAAATTATGGTGGTCAGGTACCGTCTGTTTTTTCTTTATTCTTTGGTCTGAATTTGGGGAGCGAAGTACAATATTTTGGAAAATCCTTAAATGCTTGGAATGAATAGGAGTTGTGCTCATAGAAGTAGAACTGGCATTAATATGACAAATTTCAACTCTCTTTATGAACTGCACTTTGTATGTGAGTATATTTTCTGTCATAATAATAATAATAATCCTTGCATTTGATATAGTGCTTTTCACGTCTTCCAGACGTCTCAATGCACTTCACAGAATAATAATAATAATAATCCTTGCATTTGATATAGCGCTTTTCACTTCGGAAGGACGTCCCAAAGCGCTTCACAGAACACACTGTAAAGTGAATCGACTGTATATTTGTGGGCGAACGCGGCAGCCAATTGCGCACAGCAATGTCCCACAAACAGTCGTGGATTGAAGTGACCAATTTATTATTGGNTTTTTTCTTGAGGGATTATTATTATGCGTGTGGAATAAGGAAACTTGCCCAAGGCTTCACCCCTGCCAGGAATTGAATCCAGGTCTCTCGCTTGCAAAGCGAGTGCTCTAACCACTGAGCTACATGATAATTCTAATGCTAATCCTTACATTTTAAATAGCACCTAAAAAGTCATGAACATCTCAAAGCTTCTGTGAAGTATAGTGACTGTAAGCACTCAGCTTTCTTATTTGTATTTCAATTGACTCTTAACTATACTGATAGTTTGGGGTAGGGCTCTTCACCAGTGGAAGTCCCATAATTATTAAAGCCAAGAGGAATTATATCCACTATCCATTGAAACAGCAGTATTTTTAATCCTGAAGAGAAGATTGTCAAGTTGCACTGTGTTCTTTATTCACTCATTAAACATTTTTATATCAGTTTTACAGTGTTTAAATATGCATCTGCTACAGTGCCTCAATTCTAATAGACATATTCTCTATAAACTCTTCAGATCACTTCTGAAGACCTGCATCTCTGACCATGCCTTTGGTCACCTCCCCTCTCTCCAGCTCGGTGTCAAGCTCCACAACTGTTAAGTGCTCCGAGACACTATCCAATATGAAGAATGCTATATATAAAGGTCTGTCTGAGAGGTAAACTTCTTGAAGTTTCCCGGATCCTAAAGGATATGAACAGGGTATCTTATTTCATATGGTCAAGTGGTCCACAAGGAAGTCATGGCCTCGAACACAGAAGGGGGCAGGTGAATAGACAGTTCAGAGAGAAAGCATACTGGAGGGCATGTGAGATAGGGAGAGCTGGGATGTGAAGATGAATCCAGGCAGAAAATTACTGTAATAGTCTCTCCTGCTGCAGATTCCTATGTGTGCTGATTGACTGCACAGCTTAGTCTCGAGTCAGCACGCAATGCAAATGATTAAGAAGGAAACTGTAATGTTAGTTTGTGGCCAAGGTCCTATTTTTTTTACTGATCTGTGCAGTGGTTAAAAAACATTCACTAGATACAGTACAGAAAATATGGTCTAAGTTGTGTCGAGGTCTCATGCTGAATCTTTGGCTCCCAACACGCGTGTATTTATTTCACAGAAAAGAAAATTACAGTCTTGGAGCAGTTTGCCCAGAATGAATCTGAAGCACAGGGAAACAAAACAATCCCAGGCCAAAGCGGTGCGGCTTCCTCTGCTCGAGATTAATTACAGTGTACATCTCGTAAAGCCCTGGGAGTCGGTTGCTGTAGTGTAGACTCCCTCCCCTTCTTTCTCGATCGAAGAACAAACAGTGCGGGGAAACACCTAAAGGGTATTTAAGATAATAATATTAATAATAATCCTTGCATTTCATAAGAGTGCTTTTCACGTCTTCTAGAGACGTCTCAAAGCGCTTCGCAGGATAGTCTGCAGCGCGAACTGACTGTGGGCGGAATGGGAATGGGAGGTCCAAAAAAAAACGAGAGAGGGAAAATAAATTGCAGGCGCAGAGGAAAACGCAGGGAAGGGAAGGCTGATGGTTTGAGTGGCAGAGAGAGGACAGAACTGGTGGGGGGGGGATGGGTGTGGGGTTGGGGGGGGGGTTGATTTTCCAATGCAAAGCCAGAGTGAAACCAACCTGTTGTGAATGCTGTAGCGCCGCCTACCCGCGGCTGGGGCTCACTGCAGTGCCGCCTGTCCTGCTCAGAGCCGGAGACAGGGGAAGGGACAGGGCTGACAGGCACTGCGACACTGACAGCAGTGGTGGGAAGGGAGGAAGGGGGGGGGGGGGGTGTCGAAAAGGCAAAGAAAGAAATAAGAAAGAAAGCTGTGCCACCCCATCCCCCTCACCCCATCCCCTCACCCCACCCCCTCACCCCCTCACCCCATCCCCTCCCCCTCACCCCATCCCCCACCCCCTCACCCCACCCCCTCACCCCACCCCTCACCCCACCCCCTCACCCCATCCCCACCCCCTCACCCCATCCCACCCCCACCCCCTCACCCCCTCACCCCACCCCCTCATCCCACCCCCTCACCCCATCCCCACCCCCTCACCCCATCCCACCCCCTCACCCCATCCCACCCCCTCACCCCATCCCCCACCCCCTCACCCCATCCCCACCCCCTCACCCCATCCCACCCCCACCCCTCACCCCATCCCACCCCCTCACCCCATCCCACCCCCACCCCCTCACCCCATCCCTCACCCCATCCTCACCCCACCCCCTCACCCCATTCCTCACCCCATCCCCCACCCCCTCACCCCATCCCTCACCCCCCCCCCCCCCCACCCCAGGGACTGTGTCACTTTCTGTGACTAAGCTCATACAGGAACTGTAACGAGAGAGAGAGAGAGAGTGTGTGAGAGTGTGTGAGTGAGAGAGAGAGAGAGAGAGAGGTACTTGTCAGTGATAACCAGGACAGGGGGAGTGGGGCACTGACTGACTCACTGACTGGATGGATGGAGTAAGTTGCTCGGCTCAGCAGCAGCAGCAATAGGGAGAGAGGGAGGGAGAGGGGGAGGGATGGAGGGGCTGTGACTGCACTTTAACTTCAGAGCCGAGCGTGTGGGGAGCGACTCGGAGCGGCCACAGTGAGTGAGTGAGTGAGTGAATGCAAAAAGGGACAGGGACTGGCACTGACCTGAGCAGTGGGTGGGGGGCAGCAGTGGGTGGGGGGCAGCAGTGGGTGGGGGGCAGCAGTGGGTGGGGGGCAGCAGCAGTGGGTGGGGGGCAGCAGCAGCAGTGGGTGGGGGGGCAGCAGCAGTGGGTGGGGGGCAGCAGTGGGGGGAGCAGCAGCAGTGGGTGGGGGGCAGCAGCAGCAGTGGGTGGGGGGCAGCAGTGGGTGGGGGGCAGCAGTGGGGGCCAGCAGTGGGGGGCAGCAGCAGCCAGCAGTGGGTGGGGGGGGCAGCAGTGGGTGGGGGCAGCAGTGGGTGGGGTCAGCAGGCAGCAGCAGCAGCAGCGCTCTGAGGCTAACACTTTCTCCCGCTCCCGGCGCTGCGGAGAGACACGCGGGGAAGTTTGCGGAGGAGAGCGGGAGAGCCCCGACACCCCGTTTGGTTCGCACCGGGAGCGCAGTCGGGGGGGTCAGGCGAGTGGCAGCGTCCACGAGTGCCCAGCGAGTGGCAGTGCCCCCCCCCCCCCCACAGCCCCACACCCCCCCCCCCCCCCCCCCGCCCCCCCCCACAACCCACAGCCCCGCACTCGGTCCAGTTGCCGGTGCCAACCAGCAGATGTAAGTGGCAGCGCGGGTGCCGGTGGTGGTGGGGGGGGGGAGCAGTGCCAGTGCCAGTGAGTGCCCGGTGAGCGGAGTGGGGCAGCCAGTGCCAGTGCCAGTGCCAGTGCCAGTGCCCAGGCAGTGCCCGCGCCGGGTGCCATGGGCTGCAACATGGTGCTGGAGTGGCTGCGGGGTCTGCAGCTCGGGCAGTACGGCGAGTCCTTCCTGGACAACGGCTACGACGACCTGGAGGTGTGCAAACAGATCGGGGAGCCGGACCTGGACGCCATCGGGGTGCGGGCTGCGGGGCACCGGCAGCGCCTGCGGGCGGCGGTGGGGCGGCTGCGGGCGGAGGGGGAGGGGGCGGGGGGGCCCGGGACGGTGCTGTACTTCACGCTGGAGCCCCCCGGCCCAGCCCCCGCCCACCGGGTGCTGGAGGAGTACGAGTCCCGGCTCAGGAGCCTGAGGTGGAGGCGACCCCCGGACGCCAGAGCCCCCCCCGAGCCCCGCACCCCGCACCCGCACCCGCACCCGCACCCGCACCCCAGCCCCCGCCTGGTGCTCTACCCCAAACTCAAGCTGAAGATCATGATCAGGGACAAGCTGATCCGGGACGGCATCAACATGAGCAAACCCCCCTACTCCAACAAGGTGAGACCCCCCCCCCCACACACACACACACACACACACACCACACACACACTGACACACACACACTGACACACACACACACACACACACACACAGACACTGACACACACACACACACACTGACACAGTCACCCACACACACACACACAGCCACACACACACACACACTGACACAGTCACACACACACACACACACACATCACACACCCCCCCCACCACACACCACACACACACACACACACTGACACAGTCACACACACACACACACACTGACACAGTCACACACACACACACACACACTGACACAGCCACACACACACACACACAGCCACACACACACACACACCCCCCCCCACACACACACACACACACACACACACACACTGACACAGTCACACACACAGCCACACACACACACAGCCACACACACACACACACAGCCACACACACACAGCCACACACACACAGCCACACAGCCACACACACACACACACACAGCCACACACACAGCCACACACACACAGCCACACACACAGCCACACACACACACACACAGCCACACACACACACAGCCACACACACACACACACAGCCACACAGCCACACACACACCACACACCACACCACACACCACACACAGCCACACACACACAGCCACACAGCCACACACACACACACACACAGCCACACACACAGCCACACACACACAGCCACACAACCACACACACACAGCCACACACCACACACACACAGCCACACACACACACACACACAGCCACACACACACACACACACACACACACACACACACACACACACACACACACACACACACACACACACACACACACACACACACACACACACACACACACACACACACACACACACACACACACACACACACACAGCCACACACACACACACACACACACACACACACACACACAGCCACACACACACACACACACACACACACACACACACACACAGCCACACACACACACACACACACACACACACACACACACACACACACACACACACACACAGCCACACACACACACACACAGCCACACACACACACACACACACACACAGCCACACACACACACAGCCACACACACACACACACACACACACACACACACACACACACACACACACACACACACACACACACACACACAGCACACACACACACACACACACACAGCCACACACACACACACACACACACACACACACAGACACACACAGCCACACACACACACCACACACACACACAGACACACACACACCACACAACCACACACACACACAGCCACACACACACAGCCATGGGCAGAGGGGTCCCCCCCACCCACCACACACACACACACAGGTCCTGACATTGTTATAGATGTCAGGGCAGAGAGGGAGGGAGGGGTTGGGGTGGGGGCTGTGTGCGACTTGTTGGTTTGAAGGATGGAGATTGATGCCCTCAGTTTGAATGAAGTGTATGGGAGGGTTTCCAGTTTAAGTGCAAAGAACAGACCCCTCAAGACTGTGTTTTTGAAGCTGTTTTGTATATTTTAGTTCCCAGTGCTGTGATTTCCATTTGGACTGTGCTGCAAACTCTTGCAATCATAGTTTTACTCCTGGGTTTCAACTGAGTGCATTCTTTTTTTTAACCATCGTTGAAGTCTGGTGGCTTTTCATAACGAAATACAAGTTTCGTAAGTTTAGCTCAAGTTTTTTTTTGGGAAACAAAAAGCTGACACCAATAGCTACAAGTGCTGGGTTTTGCTGGGTTTTGCTCGTTGTTTTACACCGGGACATTTTTTTGCAGAACTAATACAGCATCTTAATCTTGGGATAAGGCGCAAGCAAGTGTTGAACACGATTTCTGACAGGACAGCTTTATCAGTTGTTTTTTTTTAAAATTTTCTTTCTTTTTTTTTCGCGTGCGAAATTAGCCTGTTTAAAAAGAAACAGCTTTTTTAAAAAAAAGCTCACCTTAAAACAAGCCATAGCAGTGCAGTTTGTCTGCGTTAATTGTACCTGCAATTTAGTGGCAATGTGGCAAAGTCTTTAGGAGCAAAGTCTCTGCTTCTGTAACATTTCCTCTCCAATCATTTGTTCATCAACTTGCTTTGGTGTCTGATGGCCGGTCTCAAGACCTTTCTCTTTGACCGTGCCTTCGGCTCCCCTCTCGACTCTCTACCCCCTCCTCGCTTCCTCCCTTCCCTCCCCTCACCCTGACCATTTCCCCCAATGCTCGGGTCCTGACCCAACTGTACAGCGCCTTGGGACGTCCTCCCGACGTGAAAGGCGCTCTATAAATGGAATCTTGTTGTTGTTGTTGTTGTTGATGATGGCTGGAGAGCAGCAAAGTTGTAGACATTTCAGTGGAGGCACAGAGTTCGTGGCTCTCTTCGAATTGGATCTCAGTAAAATACATCAGATTGCTTCGAGCTGTAGCTTTCCAAACCGGGAGCCACATTGCCGGTGAAAATCGTTCCTATTTTTCTTTCCCCCCCCCCCGCCCCCTAAAAAAAAATAAAAAGGGACAAAAAAAAGGGAGACCTATTTCAAAATAAATTCGCAGGTGAAAAGCTGGGATTTAAAACGTGGCAGATCGGCAGTCGTTTTCCCATTGCTGTCATGGGTATCGGAAAATAAGTGGTGGTTGTTGGTGGGGGGGCGGGGAAATAAGATGAGAATTATTGATTTGCCTGAGATGTCAGTGAAAGCGATCTTGACTGTGGTGTTGCTGTGTGTTGAGAGAGGTTTGCAAGTCGTTGGTTTGCTCAGCAGATGTAGGGGCATTGATTCTCCCAGCAAACTGTCTTGAAGCGAGAGAGAGAGAGAGAGTTTTCTTTCTTTTTTTGTGTGTGTGTGTGAGCAGTTGAAAAAAGAAACCACGATCGAACCACGTTGTCAGAGAAATAGCCTTTTTTTTTTTGTTTCGTGGCACCAAAAAATTCTCTCAAGCTTCCTTCCTTACGTTTTCAGCAGATCAGTTACCTGCAGTCAGTCGTGTGTCAGTCATGTCGATCTGCAGTTGCTCTCAGGCTTCACTTGTTCCCTGGGCAACCGTGTGTCTCTGCATCAAATGTGATGGGCTGACAACCAGTTTGACACTGCATTTGAAATTGAAAGTGACCTCCTATTTCCAGCAGTCAGTGCAAGATGATAATTGATGCTAGGAATTGAGCTGCACAATAATAATAATAATAATAATAATAATAATCCTTTCATTTGATAGAGCGCCTTATCACGTCTTCAAGACGTCTCAAGTTTCCTTTTCCTATTTTTATTTGAAAAGATCAAGTCTTTTTTTTAAAAAATAAAACCCTGACTTGTTTAAACTTGTTTAATTGCTCCAATTAAATTTCTTCGACACCGTTTTAGATGAATCCATCACAGTTTCTATGGTCTGTTTCTTTGCTGCTGAATGAAAGCTTACAGTTTTCGAGATCGACTCCTGTTTAATGTGGACTTGCGGTCACAAACATGTTTTTAAATGCACTAATGTGGAAATGTTGCAATGTTGCCCTCGGCTGACATAATGTTTTGTAGGTGATGATAAAACAATAATAATAATCATTGTATTTGCCTTTTGACACAATGGAGTTATTACAATATTAGTTTCTTTGTAGTAAACTAGCTCAGTATGGTATAATGCTGATTTTTGCTTTGCTGTAACTATGTATCCACTTAATGTCAGACGAGTTTGCACCTTTGTTTATTGCCTTGACATTGGTGTCTAAATGTATTTCTAACCGTTCATGTTGAAAAATATGCCAGCTAAAAGACAGTGACAACAACAAATTACATTTGAATAGCACCTTTCGCATCGGGAGGACGTCCCCTGGCTCTGGACTAACAGGGATTTGGACCCGAGCAGGGGGTTGAGATCAGGGAGGGTGGAGGGCAGGGAGTGTACGGGTAAGAGGGTGACCGAATGTGCGTCGAAGAGGAGGATCTTGAGACGTGCCTTGAAGGAGGCGAAGGAAGGGAGCAAGACGAAAGGACAGTGGGATGGCGTTCTAAAGGGTGGGGGCAGAGAAGATGAAGGCTCGACCGATAATGGTGCATCGGGTCGGGCGGGAGATGTGTGGATATGATATGGGGTTAGCAGGTGGAGTGTGCATTCATGGTTGGTGATGCTGCCAGTGCCTGAGGTGTGGATGCGCTGACAGGAGCGAATCAGGAGGGCCAAGTGTCGTAAATATGTTATTCCTTCTTATTATACAAATCATAGAGCAAAGCTCATATTCCTTGGATATAGCTGTCATATTCTAGTTATCTGTTTTTTTTATTGGTCGAGTCTTTTTAGTCTAGTGAAAAATTAGATTTTTGATCATGTCTCATATACCAAAACTCACCAGGCCCCTTCAGTGACATTTGTATAAATAATTTATTTGTATGATGAAGTCACCATATTAGCTTCATTTTTTTTAGAAAAATGACTATAATTAGGAAATAGCACTTGTGTTGCAGTATCAAATTATTTTCATCCTGATTGTATCTAATCAACCAAAGACTCGCTCTTGTTTTTGAATTGCCAGCCAGAATTGTCAATAGGCAATTTTATATTCGAAATTTGCCAATAAACCAGTCACAGTCCGGATGTTGTGTTTACGGAAATGGGATTGAAAGTGCTGCCATCTGATCAAATAAAATGCGGAACAAGCCAGCAAGCTCGGAGGTTTTATTTGGCTAGATAATGTTTATTCAACTAGGACAGGGATACAGATTTGAACATTTTAGACTATCTCTACATCTATATATAATGCATATATTAAAAAATTACGCACTTTATTCAATAAACAGTGTTTTTTGTTTTCATCCATACTTACTACTGCATTTGGAATTGGATTCACCAACGTACTTAACTATACTGAAGTACATCTTAAAACATTTCATTTAACAAATAAAATTCTCACTATAAAGTGTAATACTATAGAGATCAGAGGAATGCTTAGTCAAAGCTTACTTGTTTGTGTAATTCA